CCTAGATACTTTTAATCATTCGTTAGTGATTATGGTTCGATTACTTCTTGAAATGTGTTTCTGAACTACATAACATGAGTTTTACTTGTTAAAAACTTAGCTTACTAATAAATCACTGGGTTATGATAAAGTGAATGTAAACTTCAGGAATCCAATATAAGTAATGTTAATTTTAAAGTAATTTAGGTACATTACATTACAGTAAGATCTGAGTGTTTTTATTAGTGTTTTGTTTTGTTTTTTTTTTTTGTTTCTCCATAGATTTAGATTTAGATTAAGTTTTCTAGTTGTGACCGAGTGTAACATTAAGTACATGTGTTTTATTTTTCTTCTACTATTTTGTAAAACTACGTGTTCTATTTTTAGGAATCATTGAAAACCGGCGCTTCGGTGTACACCGAGCACATGCCGAATGAATTCCTTTTCATTTATTGAATAAACTGATTTCTTTCTTTCTTTCTTTTCTTTCTATTATAAGGCGAAAGTTTTGTTGGATGTTAGAGTTTATAGCCTAAACTTCTGAACGGATCTCGATTAAATTTCACATAGATGAAAACGTCTCTACGGTCAGACGGTACACATAGGTTTCTTCCTTTATTTTTAATTCTACGCGAACAGAGTCGCGGGTGTACACTAGTAAGAAATAATTATATTATATTCATCATCACATAAAAAGGATATATTGAAACCGACTCATTGAATATTACAATTGTAAAGATAACACAGTTGTTAATATTAATTGTTCGTATGAAGATTTCGAGCGGATATATCAATATTTCATTAAATAAATTGAAGCACGCGAAAAACGCGAGAAGCGGCAATGCTTAACGAGATATATCCGACGGGAGACAGAGTAGGGGACATGGGGAAGGGAGGCTGTATGTTTAACGCGACGGCATTAAAATATGAACGAACACAATCGACAAATTTATTCGTAATAAATACCGGACGCTTTGTTCGATAAATATGAATTACGTTTGTAACAATGAAAGGTATTTATTGAATTAATCGGATAGAAATATTATTGAAATCGATAAAACATTTTTGAATAAAATATAATACAGATGACCACAAAACGCGAGAAAATCAGATTAGATAAAAATATCGCGGCCCCTTGGACTCTCGTTTATCGAATTTGACTGTTATTCATTTGTTATTGGCAATAGTATGCAATTCTTGTCAGTATACATTTAACCCTTTTAGTGCCACAGACAGTTAAATTCCGCATAAAAATAGCAGTAGCATTGAAAGTGTTAACTAAGTAAGGAGATCAGTTTGTTATAAACTACGAAAACTTCAAGTACCATTCATTCTCAAAACTTCGTATAGAAGTCTAATCAAATTCGTCTATAAAATACAAGTTTATACTAAGTTGAGTGCATAGTTCTAAGTTGAAGTTTAAGTTAGTGAACGTTTGCAGTCTCACCGGTGCGGCTGTCCGACGGTAATTGGATAAGTCATAAATTTGTAGGGAAGTGCATGGAAGTTGCTACAGAGTTCCACTTTAACTCGACATGTACGAGGATAAACAAAGCTTATGTTGAACAGCTGTGGATTATACAGAGCATATTTTAGACTAGCCGTTGCTTGTGACTTTGTCCACATGGAATTGAAGAATAAAGAAATAAAGAAATATTGCCTTAGATTTTTTTAAATTGTCCCAACAGTTTTTGAGTTGTTTTACAAAAATACAAATCTTTCCTCTTTTAAATATTAGTATATAGATTACCCTGTCCTGACAGAAGCGCTATATTAGCGTACTGAGCAAGATTACTCTGTCTCCTTTTTTTTTACCATGACTTGGGGAACAGTGAGACATGAAAGTAAATCGCAGATCTTTAGTGCTCCTTACTCCAAGAGCCCTGGGCTATTTCTGACAAATTTTAAATGCTCCTAAATATTCAGTTGAACGAAGTTTAGCTTGTTAAACTTATATGTCAAAGTATGGTATAGTAATGCTACCTCTCTCGGGAACACCTTTAACTTTTAAGTTAGGAAAATACTCAAAGCTCGGGTCTGACAGGACCCTTTTACGACACCATTAATAAAATATATCCTGTAAATTTTCAACTTACAGCGACGCAGAGCGCATAAAGTTTAATGACTGTTATTGCTTGGGAAATTATACGATAAGCTTCTTTATGATATTTAAAAAAAAATCTAATACTAAAATCTTTTAATCTTACTAATATTATAAATGTGAAAGTTTGGATGGATGGATGTTTGTTAGAGTTTGTAGCCTAAAAGACTGAACGGATCTGGATAAAATTTGGCATAGATGTAGAGGATAGTCTGGAAGGACACATAGGCTACTTTCATTTTTTTACTAATACGCTAATTTATATACGAAGCTAGTTTTTTTATGAAATGCATAGCTTCTAACCTACAGATATTAGATTTAATAATTGGTTGGAATACTCTTTCTGGGTGCAATGTTTTCATAAGTAACGTTAGATTTTTTTTAATTATTTTTCAGACACTGGAATCTATCCCTGATAATTCGAGACTGAGTTTTTCTGTGTTCTCGATTAAATATAAAAAGGGTGTAAACGAAAACTGCAAAATTTACTGACATAAAGATTCTGTGTATTTATTTCTGTACAATAGATTTATTAATTACACATATAAAATTTATAATCTTTATAATACAAGATGCTTGAAGTTTTAACTTCTGTTGAATAGTAGTTATTTTATCTATACTTAAACCAATGAAATCAAAATGAATTGAAGTTAAAAAACAAATGAACTTAAGAATTTACTAAAAAAGTTGTTAAAACCATCATTTGTCTTTTGTTTATTTGTCCTCAAGCGAGTTACATTGAAATACAAAATTAGTAATGAATTGCGTTTAATAAAATAATGTATTTACACGTTGGCACATCGGCTGAAATTCATGACAATAAGCACATATTAAATGACAAAATTAACGTAGATTTCTAGATAACATTTACTACTCGGCTGTGGACATAAAAAAAGTCTTTAAATAAAACATTCAGAATGCCTAGCGGGAGCACACCTTTGGTAAACTCTCGATAAACTGTAGTGCGATTGTCGATTGTTTCGAAGCAAATTCAACTGTTTAGTTGCACAACTAAAAATCGAGTAGTGTACGCTCCTCCACAAAAGCTTTTAAGAGTCAAAGCGCGACTAAACAGTTGTGCGATAGTTTAGTTTCAGGTGTGCGCACGCTCTTAATGTTTTTATACCAAAACTTGAATTAAAACAAAGTAACTGAGATATTATAAAATTCGTCAAAATATTTCAGTTCTACAAAAGTGCTTACAATTTATAAAATAAAGTAAAAAATACCCCAAATGTTTAATTTAAACCGTTTCGATATAATAAAGTGTAGTAAAATAAAACGTCCTGAATAATTTATTTCTCTATTTGTATATTTAGGGGCGGCCGCTGTACATCAGATAAAGTAGACATAAAACAGATCTGCGCTAAATTAAAGCAAGCAGGAGAAAATTATTTTAATTTGTATTCTATTTACATTTATTATATTAATTTAAATATTTACAATTACATTTAGACACTGATAAATCGAGCGGTAAAATTTATTTACAAACAAATAATAAAACTTTGATAATCGTTTACGAAATTGGATAACAAAAATAAAAAAATACTTTTTTTATCTGTCTTACTGCTCGATTGCAACACTCAAAGTCATTCACGTAAGTATCTAAGTACAGATTTCTTTTATAAAATCTTCACTGAGCCATTTAAGAGACGTATTAAGGACTCTGAGTGTTGCAGTTAATGTTTTCATTTAATTACTATATTAAACATCTACAATATCACTTTCCCTGTCCTTTGTAGCTTTCGTGAGAATACTTTACATTCGTTTTAATTCCTAAACAGTCAATAATTTCATTTCAGTAACAAAGGCACTTGTCTCCGAAGCAGCAGGAGTACGGTCCACAGAAACATCTCCCTCTGATACCTCACTGAAGTGCCCTCCGCCACTGCATCTGCCAAAGTAATTGCTTAATGTAATTATGAAGTACTAGCTTTCGCCCGTATCTATGTATCCTTCCAGACTTTCCTTTACATATATGACAAATTTAATCGAAATTTGTTATGCAGTTTAGGTAACAAACATCCGTCCAAACATTTGTACTATGTATTAGTAAGCTTCCAGCTTACACTGCAATCGACAGACGTTAGTTTCCGTCGGAATCCTACCTTTATATGCACAAAATACGTTATTATTCATTAATATTGTTACTACAGTAAGTTTGTTATTTACAAACAGACATAAGAAGACACGAATTATTTAAAACGAAGAAATTTAATTAATTTTTACAACCAACTTTTTATAAGTTTCGTTGCGGAGCTTTTTCTTCAATGATTTGATTGGCAAAACTTCAAAATTATTGTTTAAAAAAGTTGTCGATATTACACATTTCGGTAACAGAACAATATCACTATCTATCGAGTACTGTATACTTAGTTAACATTGCTACTTACTATTTTTACTAAACATATAAGATGATATGTGTGGCCGTGCAGCCACGTACAGCCGCACGGCCATGCTGCGCACGTGCGGCGGCCGCGTGTGCAGCGTGGCGCGGCACCGCAGCGACAGGTAGCCGCGTGGCGTGGCGTAGTCCTCGGGGAACACGTGGAGCGTGCGCCACGACGCACGCAGTCCGTCCCCGTCCGCGCCAGACACGTGCGTTACACCCGTTATCAACGGGTCCTAAATAAATACTAAATTGTAAGACCGCATTTTGTGGATTGGGGAAGGCCTAAGTCCAGCAGTGGGCAGATAAAGGCTGATGATGATAATGATAATGGTAATAAAGACTGTAAGACAATATTGAAGAATCAAGTATAAGCTCTTATTTTTTAGAGCGGGCGCACAACTATTGTGCGATTATCGATGTCGATTTTTTCGCAAATAATTCAACCATTTAGTTGCATCACTAAAAGTCGAGCAGTGTGCGTGCGTGTTTCCGTATAAGGTAATAGGAATCAAAGCGAGACTAAACAGTTGTGCGATAGTTTAGTCAAAGGTGTGCGCACTTACTATCTAGTGTAAAAATCAATTATAGATTGTATTAAGAAGCTTTATTAGTTATTGAATTGTAGATTATCAGTTTTCAAACGTTAAAACAAATTGTATAAAAAGACAGAAAAATATACTGCGAAGTGTAAAAGAACTTAAATTTTCTTTCCGCATTTGTGTACATTTCCAGACGAAGCGTAAAATGTGAGAGTAACAACAATTTTGACAGCCCTGAAATTTCATCCTTTCCTTTCGCAACATAAAGGATAAGGTACTTGGGATTGCTTTTCGTATTTAATTTCAGACGAGTCTGTCAACAAAAGTACTAGTTTAGATTAGATAACACTTCGAAACAAGGTTTAATTAGTTTTGTATAAAGTTGATCTTTTCGGAAAACATTAAGTAAAAAAAGAAATTGTTCTTTGAAATTAGATGACATTTATAGAAGTGATTTTACTTTTATTATTATGAGCTGAAATTTTTGCAAAGATAAGTTACGAGATATTGATGTTATTTAAAACTTCAGTTACAGACAAAACTAAATACCTATAATAATACGAATAAATTCTATTGTTTATTCTGATTTACTTTTGTTTATTTATTGATCTGTATTGGTTAGTATTTGTTAATTAGGTCGTCGATTTGTTGCTTCGCATTGTTTAGTTCATATTTGTCCAATTAGTAGATTAACTGATCTATTTCAATTTGAACTTTGGTATTACTAATCAATAGAACAAAACTGAAATATAGGTTTTAACCTACTTTAGCAAATGCTGTTTTCATGTTCTGCGATCGATAGTTCTAGCCTAGTTCTAGATATTGATAGGTTTATAATCAGTAAGTTGGCGGTAATTTTAGTCAACCTTATAGACTTGGCTTTTGAATACATTATTGAACGAGTATTTTAGAAGATAGGAGCTCTATTATTTTTATTAATTTAGAGTAAAACAGACAATGAAATATGTAAGACAAACCTAGTTAAAAATTTAAATCATACGCACCTCCTGCGGCTCTGAGTCTACGAACCAGTCGATCTCTGCAGCTGGTAGGGAGTAGTCTGAGGTGCAGTTGACAAGTGCCGTCTCCCCCGCCTGCACCAGCGTCGGCAGCCCCGTGATCAGCGGGTCGTACTCCGGCAACACTGATAATAACAAAACACGTACTTCGAAACTTGAGATTCGCCATTGACAAGTTTAGTCATTCATTCAGTATTTAAAACTTCCATTTCTTTTTTATTGACAACTAGCTGTTGCTCGCGACTTCGGCCGCGTGAAATTAAAATAATAATAAAAAACATAGCCTTTGTTACTCACAGTGAAAAGACCTTTCTAATGATGAAAGAATTTTTGAAATCGGCCCAGTCGTTTTTGAGTTATTTCAATACATACAAAAATACAAATCTTTCCTCTTTATAATATTTGTATAGATTACTATGGGAGAAGGAGAGTAATATAGCAGGCTAAAGACCTTTAGTTAAGTCTTAAGTCGGCTTAATCTGCCGAATGATTGTTAAGTTGTGTATTTCCCTAAATTAGACTTCGTAATGTGGGATATAATACGATCCTAATTCTTCAGACTTTAGTGGACCTGTTAGTTCTGTCCATAAGAGAAGGTGGCAAAGGAACAGCAGCAACACTGAGATGTTCATTAAAACCCATAGGCCTCCGCAATATTAAAGGAACTGCAGATGCGTAGTTAATAATTTAAAGTTTATATTGGTACCGGCTAGTGTCATATTGGCGGAGCGCTTGTCGACGGCGAAGCGCGGCCCCTCGCTTGAGACTTCACAGGTGTAGCGTGCGCCGCCGCGCTCCGGCCGCACCGACACCACGCATGCGCTCAGCGAACACGAACTGTTGCTGATCGTCACCTCGCTGTTGTTGAATGCTCGGCTCTCCAGCTGACATGATACATGCATGAGTTATAACCACTTGGTACGATATAGAACATTTATAATAATAATTTCACAACAACCAGAATTGAAACACTTTGAAGCAGATAAACTATTTGTTTTAGACTAAGTACTTAACAGTCAAAACTCCTATGACAAATAAGCGAATTCGCGGGACCTATAATATGGTAAACAGCAGTAACATGCAACAGCCGTAGTATACTGCTGATATCTGCATACCAAGACGCACCTTTAATGTACTTGGTTACAACTTACCTCTTGTGGCGTGTATCTGAATATCTCGTTGTTATCGCGGTACCATTTGACGGAGTGCAGTGGCGGGTCTCTCGGCTGGCGCGCGTAGTGGCAGCGCAGTTCGGCCTCGCGCCGCGGGTCTGCCCACAGCGGCACCTCCAGTAGCGTGATCGTATGAGACACGCTGCGTGCTGTTAGTGAATTTAAGAGGATGTTATCGAAGACAAAGGTCATCGCTCAATGTCAACTAATGTACGAGAAAGATGTTTTTTTCCAAAAAGATATGTTTAATATCTATAAAAGTCGTCCTAACAAGGTTTAGTCATATTTGTTTGTGATAAAATGAGTTAAACCCTAAAAAAATGTGTACAAGTGTATCGTTTGTGGAAATTCAAAGTAAAGTAAATTAAAACATTTCACACACATAATAAAATAATATTAAATTATTGAATGTGATTTCATTCTCATTTCCGTCTCAATATAAATGTAATTAATCATTCCACGCAAGGAAATAATTTTATGACAAATTAATGAGCTTTCGTGCTGCCCTCGGCTGAATGAATTTCAATATCGCACGAAAACTATAAAAAAAGGCCTGTGTATATTTTCGCTATCGGAGTACTAATGATGTGGGAATCGGTTAATTACTTTCATATTTTTCCATAATAAATAACGACACAGATAAAATTGTTTTACTATCATCAATGTATCTCCCATCATATCCCTTTCCCATCCTCTCCTTATAAGGAAAGGGACTTAAATTAGGCCTTATCATAAGACTTAATTTATCAAAAAATCAGTCAGAAATACAGATTTAGTAACACTTTATTGAAAATCCGTATTTGCGTACTGACACAAAAGACGGCAGGAGTAAAGGATATCGCTGAATCCCTTCCAAGAGATATTTCATTATTTGAATTGAACTCCAATCCGTGACTTTATTTACCTTTGCTCTGAGCTAATTCCGTAAAAGCCTTCGAGCCAAAGACCCAATTGTATAGCGTCTTGATAGAATTTAAGTTTAACTTTATGTAAATTCCTCAAATAAATTATCATCGCTTTAACATTTTAATTATCAAGTTATCTGAATGTAAGATAAATTATTGAAGCTTTCTGGGCACCATTAAAAATTAAATCAATAAAACTTTGATATACTAGATTTAGACCGCGATTTCGTCCGTGTGTAATTATATATAAATGGAAACAATTCCGTGTTTCATCTGATGAGTGTGGTGCCGGAGGCCTAATTTAAGTCCCTTTCCGTTTACCACCTTTATAAGGAGGGGATGGGAAGGGAACGTGGATTTGACGGTGGAGGAGATGCATAGGAGGGGGAAATATCCTCTTTATGTGCGTCTCCTCCGTCGGATAAGGGTAGGCAACGCATCTGCAATTGCAGATGTCTATGGGCAGCCCTCGCTTCGTCATTTAGGCGGATTATTTGCATCGTTCATTTGCGAAAATTAACATATCTAGTTATCCTGTTCAACAAAAAATAAAAGAAAATAAATCTCAACTTTCACATTTATAATATAAGTAAAAGATAATTTCAATGAGCAACATTTACTTGCGTTATATATCTCTAATAAATGACCTTTAAACTATAAATGCCACGCTGACCGCTGGAGCGAATAGGTTAGGTCATACGAACTAGGCAAATGTTGTTCTGTGTGTATTTCATGCAACAACTAACACATTCCATTAACTAATCACAAATTTCACTGTACACAATAATTATTTAGTTGTACATAGTTGTTGATACCTGATGCACTTATTTTTTCCCACATCTCTCGGTTGTTACAACCTCTAACCTATTATTACTTTGTCTAATTTAAAGTAATCAATAAGTATAACATATTTAATATTAATCTGTAGCTTAAAAGCAACTACTTGAGTTAAAAAGCCTCATAGATATGATTAAAAATAACCTTGTGTCTATTTTCATACAAAGTTTCAAATGATTTATCCAATTTGATTAAAAGAGCAGACTAATTAAAGTAACATTTCATTCCCGTTATAAAAAGTACAAGAGAATGTTAATAACGAGATAGAATTATGATTAAAAGCTCTCATAAAACGAATGCAAATGTTTTTGTTTAATTATAAAATACGGTTTACTATTCTTAATGATTATAAAAATAAAATCTATGTTTGGACAAGTCTAAATTAAACCTAATTTTCTCGACGAAATGTCTAGGGATTTAAATCTAGCTGTTAAAAAAATGATTGAGCAATTAATAAAAAAAGATATCATGTAGAAAGATAATAAGCAGTTGTTAATATAGCAGTGTTGTCCCGATAAATATTTTCATGCAAAATTTTGAACACAAGGAAAAATTTAGCAAAAGTTTGATACAAGATAGATAATATTGGGGTCATGTATGTACATATATCTTTATGTAGACCCTAAAAGCGGCAATTATTCCAACTTTGTTTGTTCATAAAATAAAACTTTGGACTAACTTTACAACATAGTTCTGCCAAGTTAAAATAGCTCAGTCAATGTTTGCCGCCGGTGCTCTGCGGTCCCAAAATAATTAGACAAGTCATAAGTTTTAAATGAAGTGTACATAGCACTTATTTCTCTAAGTTACTATGTCGAAGTTTTAGACGAAAATGAAAGTAGGTAATATATGCCACTTACTATTATGAAGAAAATTTTAGCCGTTCGTGTTTTCTTGTAAGATTCTCGTATCAGTCGATGTAGGGAAAAAAATTATGATTATCTCATATTTTGTACTACATTCCATTTTAGTGATTTACAATCCAAATAATTATTACCTATTATTCAAAACATTGCGTTGTTTAACTTATCTAATCGGAACAGCAATAGAAAAATGTAATTTTATTTAGAAAGCGATCTAACCGTATCCGTATTTTCAAAGATCAAACATCGATTTCAGTGGTTATTTATGTCCCATAAAATTTTCGTATACTTTTTAATACAAAGTTATTGATATCATTTCTGTCTGAGCATTAATATCATAAGACTCAAACAGCTTTGTGACTATAAGTTCACTTCTCAAGTTTACTAAGTTGACGTAAACTGTGATCGTCAAAGTTGTCAGGATCAATAGACCAAACGATATTCACATGTGTAACAATAACTAATACGTCAGTACATTATATACCTATTTTATTATATCTTTTTACTATCAAATTATCTATACTAATAAAATAAAGCGTAAATACACAGTACTTCGTGGCGTAGGATGTCAGCAATCACAATATATTTTAAAACAATATGTTCTTTAATAAAAAGCCCTACACTTACGACAAGCTTTATATAATTTCACGCTATTAAACGTAAAGGGTCAATAAATTGGAAAAAACCTTCATGTGGAAAAGGGACCATAAACTACACGCTGCCAACATTAAGGAAGCAAGTTTATTATGGTAACGGTAATGTAGACGTTTGCAATTGAGAATTTGACAATTGTAAACAATAAAATAAAGATTTGCTTAATAAAACTCTCCTGAAACATAATACTCACTACAGCTAAACTCACGTGACAACCTTCGCTGTTGGCACCGACCTGTTTCAGACCCGTCAGGGGTCCTTCTTCAGGGTTAGCGGTTACCTTTATTCGCTGTCGCGAGTGTATGAGTTTGCGTGAGTTTAGCCGTGTTATAATTTATATAACAAATTAAAGTTTTTTAATTTCATGAAGCCGCATGTAAACAGCTAGTTTTGAAATAAAGATGCTCGAATGATTTTTTTTGTTCTACATAGTCTAAAACGCAATTGGTTGGCGATACGAACTCCCCGACGTATGTATATTCATGAAACATTCTTAATTTACGGTCCCATAGAAGGCGCTTTACTCTCGGAATATGATTAGGTAACCCTAAGTTTTAAGTGAAGCAAATATGGAACTCCCAGAGAACTCGCAATGCGGGCAAAACTTTGTCCAGACTTAATGAGAAAATCTCACAATGTAGATTAAATTCGGAGACGTTTTTAATGATTTTGTAGGAAAAAATATAAATACAAGTAAATGTTATTCTATAATATGAATAATGACACTAAATGATGCTTCTGTGATTAGTATATTGAAGATTATAAGAATTAGGGATGACAAAAATATCCTTATCGTGTCTATAATTTTTCAATCAGTACAATTTTTCATTAAAAGTTAAAAGTAACTTTTTATTTTTATTAGAAATCACAAAGAAATCACACGTTTTCGCCACTCGTGGAACTTTTTATTGAATAATCGTATAGTATTAACCATCCTCAGTTTTATTAAATTTTGTTCCCTGTAATAATACCCTTTAAAATACTTTCCAACTAAAGAGAAAAATACCGACATAAATACTGTTTTATAACTCTTAATAATTTGGAAAAACATCGATAAGCAATGATTTATTTGTATAATTAGGTTACAATATTGACTTTATTTCAAATCGGTCTTACATTGTAATAACTTTACGAAAATGTGGATTACATCGATAAGGATTGTGTGGTATTTTTTATTCCATTAACCGGTATTCGTAACATAAAATAACAAAGTGTGCGTGTCCAATGATTAGAATCACATTACGTTGTATTCGATACTGACTGCCAGTCACACGCCAACATACCACAATGAGAATTGTACAGTTGAGGATTTTTATTTCGTAACCATTTCTGTGAATATAATTCAACACTTTCTTGTGTATAAGTCTATATTTAACTAGATTTCTCCCGCGTTTCTGTTTGGACTTAAAAGGAACAGAAGCAAGTAGTCTATGAGTTCTCTCAGACTATCTTCTATATCTTTGCCGAATTTCATCTAGTCATCATCCGTTCAGCCGTTTAGGCTACAAACTCCTGACAAACATCCATCCACCTAAACTCTGACATTTATAATATTAGTGAGATAATTCGGCGCTATGGCAGTTAACTTTACGATATTAGGTCCAATGGGAAGGGAATTTATTTCTTCAACTATGATCGATTATTTTGATTGTTACATAAAAAAGTTCTAAGGCGCCTTAACCATGAAACTATTACATAGAAACGACCTCGTACCTAGGGCCTCAATGTCGTCTAGGTACGACGCATTTTAATGGTTTATTATTTAATAATAATACCGTAACTACCACACTATTAAATTATACGTAAATACAAATATTCAACAAGTCATAATGTTTGGTGTAAGAATACATGAGTGAAATCGTCCCGGGCAGACCTCGCTACTTCGAGCGGGGTTCAGAGTGCGTGTAGGGTGCGGGGTGCGGGGTGCTGGTGAGGGGTGCGGGGCGCGGGCCGCAAGTCGGCAGCTCTTTGAATATTTATTAACCAGCTCCGATTCTTTAACTATTTACAAGTTTAAGAGAACCGAGTTACGATCAAGTTTCGGGAACATTTTGATAGAGATTACAAACTTGCTGAGTAAATTCTGGATACAATAAAAAATGAACACAATTACTATCAAATATAAGAATAATCTTACTAATGTTATAAATGCGAAAGTTTAGATGGATGGATGGGTGGATGGATGGATGTTTGTTAGAGTTTGCAGGCTAAACGGCTGAATGGATCTAGAAGAAATTTGGCATAGATGTAGAGTATGGTTTGGAAGAACACATAGGCTACTTAGTTTTTTTTAATTTCACGCGGACGAAGTCGCAGGCAAAAGCTATTGTTGTATAAAGGCATGTTTTTTAACAAGACTAGGATTTTTCGTAAAGGAATATTTTTTTTCTCTCATATTTATTTATATATATGATAGATATCGAAGCACCTGAATCTGTGTTATCCATCACTAATGGCTTACAAGGAAATCTCCAATTTAACTTTCGTACTCTCATACGTGAAGTCTGTGCAGTAAACTGCAGTAAGTTCCAACAGTTTATTGATTTTCGTGCATATAAAATGTTTTATTCATACAGTTTCTATGCAGCAGCTGTGGTTGCGCGTCGCTACAATATTTTTATTTTGGAAATATATACGTGACGTCACGGTTAATTGAATTTCAGCTATCACAAGTAAACGGTCGTTAATATTTTTCGCCTTTAATTATTAAAAATAAAGAGATAAAAGCCACATTAAGGGTACAGACATCCTGTTAGGAGTTCGAATCACGCCATGTGACTAGTGAGAACCATGTCATAGTACTGTGATTGCAAGAAATACAACTATTTAGTAAATAAAAAAACATAAAATATTGTAATGCTCAGGAACTAGAACAGAGTTAATTCAACGCATGAATAAATATAATATTTTAATTGAGTTATTACATGAAACTCATGTCGGAATCCAATTAGCGGAGGAAAAATATGAGAGCAAATGCTGCAGGTAGCTCGGAAAGTAAGAACTTAACGTTTTATGAACAATGTAATGACGTTTAATATCACCGAATGATTTTGAATATTGTTTGAATATTAATCTGAGATGTAATTCGATTCTCTTTCTTTCCCGGAACATTTTCTACTGTGGTTTTGGTCAACATAATAAAACTGTTAACGTAAACTTCAATAGTTTAAAATAAGGCGAATTTATTTTGATAGTTCTGAAAGTAAACTATATATCTTAAGAATTTACAAACGATTGGTAACATGTACCATTGTTTTAAATACTTATAACACGAAGATGAGAAATAAGGGACGAAATGCACATTGATATCATTACAACCACGGGCGAAAAACACTTCGCTTGTAGTGAGCGAAACTAAATAAAAATAACCTCATCTATTGAAGTGTCGAAAAATATTTTTCGTAATTTGTAAAGAACTGGGCAACGCTTTCATTTTGTTTACTTTATTTTACGACCTTGATATTTCTTTAGGTATTTCTACCTTTTGCTACGCTGAAAAGTAGTATTTCAGTACTTCATGTTAGCATTTCCCTTTTACACTTAAGTGTTTAATAATAATAGTCAACTTTAATAATAATTATAATAGTTAATAACAGTTTGCAATAGTAGTGTAATTTTTTTACGTGTCAAACTGACAATCTATACTATCATAATAAAGCGTAAACACACACTTCTTTGTTGCCAAGATGTCAGCAATTACAGCATATTTTGAAATAATTATTTTTTTAATAAAAAGCCCTACACTTACGTCGCGCTTTAGCCACTTAAGGCCATTAAACTTAGGTGATAAACATTTTGGATAAAACCCTAATGTGGGAAAAAGACGATAAGTTACTGCCAACATCAGGAAAGTAAGATTGCTAAGGTTTGTCATGTTATATCATTTTGACATTTGCTATTGATAATTCGACAAATGTAAAGAATAAAATAAAATTTTCATAATTTCTTGCTGATGAAGCCGCACGGGAACAGCTAGTAGTAAATAAAAAGTAAGTTCAAACAGATAATTTACGACCATTAAAAAACATTTAAATAGGGTTTCATAATAAATATTGTTTAACCATATAAAATCCAATCGAATTAATCAACAAAAAACCATTATCTTACCAATTATATTCATCTACCGAAAACTTTTATGTCTCTTATGTGTCTATTTACAAAGAAAATGATCGAAATCTCTATTTCTGTAATACAGTTGTTATATCAGTGTAAGCCCACTGTAAAATTAACTCTCCAGGTGAATAATAAAGCTAAATGTAGTGTAAGACCGTTGTTATTGCTTCATTCATACGGCTGTTAATAATGAAAAAACTACAATGGTTTCATAGTAATTAGGTCTACGGACGTCATAAACATTAATGATTTATGGGTGTGTTGCTTGTGTATTATCGTTGATGGGAATTTTATTTGGAATACATCCAAACTAAGATGTCTTTTAGCATTATTTAAAGCCCGTTACACACCTTTAGTTTTATCTATTATATATAGTGGAAGTACAAAGTTGAAATTAAAGGTGTATACACGAAATTAGAATTGTTAAACTGTAGTTAAATTTTGCCTACTCTATCAACTGTTAAATTAAAATTATATATGTGTTAATGCTTTCTCGAATTAAATCCACACTAAGGGATCCCTTGATGCTTTAACAACTATGGATGTGAAATATAAAATTCAATAACTAATATTCCTTATAGATGTAAGGTACCAGTTAAAAATATATAATAAAAAAAATAATAAACGCTTTTATCTGTATTCCATAAATATGCCAAAAATATTATTCACATTGGGAGAACTTCTTTGAAGTTACAAAAATTAAAAGTCCCCGTAACTTCAGTCCACTGTAATTACTTTGTTTTCAAAGAAGCCTAATCATCTTTTATTACAGCCTCCGTGTCCTAAACATAAATCGCTATTGAGAAAAAACAGGTCACCCAGACATTGTTTCTTGTTTTTTTTTCTGATATAATATAAACATATAAAAATTAAAAATAAACAGAGTGAAAAATATACCATTCGGTAAATAGTGCTAAGCAGAGATCCTTATTCCTGAATAAATAAATTCCAGAGACGGAATGAGAGCCGAGCTTGTTGAGGATTAGGGGGTATTATACGAACCGGTATCTCTTATTTCGGCTTCAAATCTTTGGATAAACATCTCATGTCGCCTAAGGGTCATAGTTTTCTCTCTAAGCCGGCGTAATAGCACAACGTAATATTCCTTAAGTTTCTTAAATTATTCGCAGTTTATTCTCAGCTTAATTCATAGTTAAAATACTTAGTATTAGCGATAAATGTTCGGACTAATTAATAGCGATTTCCTGTAGTAATAACGGTCTTTAATTAAAGGGGTTTAAATCTCTTTGACGTTGACTGTGTTTTAAGTTATCTGGCTTTGTATTATTATTATTTTTAGAAAAGTATGAGTAGTAATTTCGATAATAGATTGTTATTTTGTTGAAGATATAATTTGAAGTCTCTAGTGCTAAGCTTTCTTAACTCTCAAAGTCTTTTAAAGTTTTTAAAACCATTCCCCTGCTAGAGTCAACACTCGCACGAGTGCAGGTTATTTTATAATCAAAGTACTTTCACTCAAACTCACCAACAAACATGGCCAGTAACAGCAGCACGACCATTTTCATTACATCAACTTCACACTCACACGAAAGCCATAGCAATAGTAAATAACCATCAAAATCACATATTAAACGAGCATTTCACATTGTTAACTATTTTATCTATAATCTCCTTCGTTATAATAACACATGTTTAAATACAAACGTGTTTTATGAATACGCGATCGGAACAAGTGCGTAGACACATACGTGCGCTTTCGACCACCGCCGGATGCGAACTGAGCGGGAATGTCAAAGTGATAAGATAACTAGAGGTGCGCGCGACTTTGCTCAACGCACAGATTATAGTGCGAATAACATATCTGGCCCACTAAACGGTACTGATATTTCGATTATTTTTAATAGAAAATAAATAAAATCAGAGAACGATTTGGCGGTACATTTTTTCTTATATAAATGAGTGTAAATTTTTGATAATTTAAAATTACTTTCCCGGGTCAACTGTATTCGTCGGACTATATATCCAGAAACTTTCATCAGATATCAATGTATCTCTGCCGAATGTTGTTAGTTAATTAAATTTTGAGGTTATCAAGGTAACGTTATTAGTAATAAATATTGTTCTAGCGAAATACAAGTTAAGGCAATTAAGTTGGTAGTTTTGAAATGCTAATGTCATACGATATACTTAATTTAATCAAAATATTACTTCATATTAACTTAGTAAGTAAATTAAAATGTTATTTAATTTAAATCATGTTTCATCAAATCATGTTCAATTTAAATTGTGTTTATTTAAATCCATTAAATAACTTTAAAACCTCAAAGCTTTCACTTCAACTTTGAAAGTTACATTTTACGAAATCTATACCAAACTTATAAACAGTTTTTCTTTTACTAATTCTAGATCATAACTACCATATTTAGCTGCTAGATTTGATAATTTACTAGACGCAGGTAGTATAGCGGCGAGACGTTACTTGATTGTTATGCTATTTTCACACGTGCTCTTTAGTGAGCCTAAGCAGTTACTATATACATTTATTGTCAATTTTTTGTGTAACTTGCACTAACGTGTGAAACTAACATTACATCTGCCAGTCGTGCCCACATCCCCGCGCGTGCGCGAACCCTAGTTGACATTTAACGTAATATTTTTTATCGTATAATTTTAATGCCTCCACTATAAAACGGCTATAAAGTAAAATCGCCTAAACCTTATTCTTGGAATTATAGGTCGCAATGAATTCATCCTCTTATCATTCCACATCTAAACTTTTTTTACGATTCTTTTTATAAGTTTAATTTATTGATATGCTACTTAACTACGTATTTATACACAAGACATTGTAGTGTTTTTAATTGTAGTTTTTGTAGTGTTTGTTTTTACCCAAATAATAAATAATGCTACGTCGGCTACGTAACCTACGCCGGCTACGTCGGCTACGTCGCTCTACGACAGTCTACGCAAGACACGCGATGACATGTGTTCATGGCTCGGCTTTCTTCCCTTGACGGATTCTTTTTATCATTATTCCTTACATCATCAATTTTTACATTTTATAGACATGTATATTAAATTTAAATATAGTCTTGTAAGGAGAATAACGTTGTCACCTCAGCCCAAGTTTAAATCCCTCCACTGTTTCCTTTTTCTTTTCTAGTTTTATGTGATTATAGTTGAAGTAACCAGCTCATTTATAAGCCGTCAGCTTAGGGCCGTATTTATGTGCCGTCAGCTTACGGCTCATATTTATTTGAGGCGCGACCCGCCGCCGCTCTCCAACGCTTTAAGCGCTTTTTCTTGATTTGATGTCGTAAACTTTGTACAACGCTGACACGACTGACTGCGCGGAAATTACTAATGTACACCTACAAAATTATTGCCATTTTATATGAGTAACGGGAAAAGTATTAAATTTGTTACAAGATATTAAATTATACTGAAATATTAAAGAGCATTTACTGCTTTAAATTGTATTGTGGTTATTTATAATGTAAAATAATAAAAGTTTACAAAATAATTTAACAAAGTCGATGCAAAACCAAGTAAAATTCGTTAAATGAAAATTTTAATCCGTTCCAACAGACCCTTTTCTCTGCGGTTAACTTTGTTCTCCGACTTTGAAACATTTGCTATGCTTTTATGAAAGTTTGTAAAATATATTTCCCGCCTTTATCCCGGGGGTGCGCAATAAATGCTGCATCTCCCCACAATAGTTGTCACGACGCAATAAATACACATTTCCAGCAATAAAATATTCCGTAGAGCTTAAAACGAAGCAAACGAACGCTGGCCACAATAACAGTAGAACAATAGCTACAATCTTTTTCTAAGTCACAATGAATTCCAATAGATACGTTTACATATAAAAATTGTTACTGAAAACAACAAAATAAAAGTTAAACATATCGTAACAATAAAACGTTTGTTCTAAAGAAAAATAAAGGTTTGTACAATTTTAACATTCGAAAAAACCTTTTTGTTGACGCAATGACATGTAAATTCATAGAAATAGCGTATATAAAAAACAAGTCTACAATTAACCTAAAATGCCCTACAAATTATATTTATAGAAAACTTATTTCCTTTCCATCATTCTCAAGAAAATCCAACTAAAATAAGGTTAATATACTCCTGAGAGAAACCTCACGTAAAACTAATCACTTTTTCATGTCTTTGAAAATGAATTAATAAACAGAAAAATTGTTTATTTTTAATAAATTACACTTATGTTATTTCCATTAATTCACTATCAATGTTCCGTAATATTAGCTCTTAATCATCATAGTATATGTACGCTGATAATCCGCTGCATTGATAGTCAGCTAATTACTGAACATCCAACTATCCGCTTCGAACGCCTCGTTAAAATCGGATAGTTATCCGATTATCCTAATCATCCCATCCAATTACAGGATCCTATCCTACAATCTGCAAACACTAGTTATCTATCACAAAAATATGATTAAAATACTAATGAATTATAATTTTTCTGTCTTGAAATTTTAAACTAAACTCAATTTAAAAATTAACACAAATATAGCCCCGCAAAAGCCACAGTTTGTCCGCGCCTGTGGAGTAACAATTTTATGTAGATTTTTCTAGACATCTCATACTTAATCGGCCTTAATTCGTTACTGTAATATAAGTACATGTTCATAGATACGACTGTCGACATCTGACATTAGACCGGAATAAATTATGCTACCGAAACGTCGTCTCATTTCTCATCCTTGGACTCAACATATAATGGCGATTATACATTACATTACAGATTATACATTACGAGTACATACGGTTCTTAGTAATACGCAAGAAATTTCGGTGCGAATCACACGTGAAGCGGCGCGGGCGTGGAAGGTTGCGGAGCGGCAACAACGCACGGCGGAGCGGCAACAGCGCACGTGCGGGATGCATCAAACAGATTTTTCTTCCTATACGCAAGTTGTAAACACAATGTTGTTTGTGAATGTCGGTGCGAACAGCGAATTACGCGTGAAGCGGCGCACACCTGCAACGTTGCGGAGCGGCAACATCTACAGCGGAACGGCAACCGCCCACGACGGAGCGGCCGGCGTCGTAAGATGCAGTCTCTTGACTACTAATAAATAAATTTTAATACGGTAGTGCATTTAAAAATAATGTCAATTTAAAACAAAATCAACTACTAGTACATACGGTAGCGATAAATCCATTTTTATTACTTTAATTGAATAAATAAATGCGTTTGTGATAAAACAGGATCACATTAAAATTAAATATATTAATAATGCCTGAATCCCTTATACATTATAATCGGATTAATTCCTGCTTCGATAGATATACCGAATTGTTAACGAGTAATTAAATCTGACAATTTACATTATCTTTAGTTAAAATAAACTCGATACAAAAATCAGAAAACACATATTAAAGAATTTAATACAGCTATATTCTCCACAGTATAGTAATTTCAAAAAGTTAATAAATAACAGGAAGCATAACGAAAGAAAAGCTGATATTTAGTAATAAAAACAGCTGCAATATCGAGTCGAGCACTTCCTCATTTTTTGGGCAATAAAATCCCGCGGCTCCGCTGTTTGTTTCTTGTAACGCTACGCTTCCACGGATTTTATTTTCACACGAACGAAAGTACACAAAAGAATACAGAATAAGTGAAGACTCGTGAGGGCATTAAAATATATAGCCCTTAACCCGAATTCGTGATACGCATACGATTTATTTAGTCTGAGATGAATTTTTATTGAATAACATTTAATAACTATTGCCATAGACAAGTTTATCCTTTTTAAGACATTTGCGTAAACGGATGAATTGGGAGCGGTTGGGCGACCGCCCAGGGCGTTCAATAGGAATAAGCGCCACAGGCCTACGTTTATACAGTCTCATATACCCTTCGTTACATCCCTAAGAGCGGGAGCATAAGGGCGGCCCTAAAAAGCTAATAGGGGCGCTATAGAATACACCTAGTGCGCTAGTACTACTAAAATTTATTTTATTGAAGTTTAAGTAGTATAAAAGTACATAACATTGTTTTAAAAAAGTATAAGTTATCGTTGAATTTCGAAGAACATGCGACCACGTGTACATTTTTATTTTGTGTCGTCTCTAGATTAAAATTTTGTAAAAAAATCCATCGGGAAAATCCCTTACCTTGCTAAGCATATGTATTACAAAATTTCAACAAAACGCGTTGTTTCGCAACACAATATTGTCCCCAAAACACCATTACAAAGGTAAGGATATTAGTTGGATCTGATATCCGAAACGGATATTGTTGCCGTTTCGCTTAAACGCCTGTCAAATCCCTTGTCCCTTTGCGAGTCCCTTTGGCTCAGGCCGTGTTCATTGCGAAAGCAAACGGAGCAGATGTGCTTGTTACTTGATATTGTAATTCAAACAAATACAAAGTGATGTTTATTTACAACTCCAGAATTATATACACAAGTAAAAAATCTTACTAATATTATAAATGCGAAAGTTTAGATGGATAGATGGATGGATGGATGGATGTTTGTTAGCGTTTGTAGCCTAAACGGCTGAACGGATCTCCATGAAATTTGGCACAGGTTTAGAGCATAGTCTGGAAGAACACATAGGCTACTTTTTATCCCGGGAATAGTTACGGTTCCCGTGGGATTCATTAATTTAGTTTTTTAATGTTTACTCGATCATTCTGCAACGGTTCAACATATCTTATGGAAATTTGGCACAGATATAAAACAAAGTCTGGAGTACACATGGGATAAGCTTCATCCCC